TCCCTGGCGTCGGTAGCATTGGTGCTCAGCACGGAAAACAAATCAACGAAAAAAAATTGTTAATTAATTCCCTGAGAGTTTTAAAAAATCCGTCTTAAAATTAATGTTTGGTGATCATTTTTGCCTGTTGCATTTTTTTCGAGTACAGTCTTTAGATAACCCCGAGAGAAGGGTGATGGGTTGGTAACTTGAATAAGAGGACGGATCTTTCCCAGGCTTCCGGATGGGGATGACTTTAGCTGACTTCCAGCACGAGGGGAAGTAGCCAAGTCCAAGGCACTGTTTAGAAATCAGTGCCAGTTGGATGAAGAATCTTGAACTCAAGTGCTTTAGTTCCAGATTCAAAATTTGGTCGAAACATGGGGCCTTCATGTTTTTAGATGATTTGATATAGGCCAACAGCTTGTCAACCGTAATCTCGGTTTCCGCAGGAAAATTTTTAGGAATTTGATGGAGGTTGGTTGCATTTTCAGCAACCGCAGTATCATATGGACTAGCCATGTTCAGTCCGAGATTATGGGAGCTGACGAAGTGGTGAACTATAGCATCAGTTTTCTCTTCAGAGGTTATCAAATGGGCGACTGAATCATTGGGTTGATTCAACGGTACAAGTGGTGGAATGGTCCTGGCTTATTTTTTAGGGTTTTTGTTAGTTTCCAGAAGGGCTTTGCACAAATTGGGAGAAAACGGATCTTTTTGGAAAATCGGCCTGAATGATCTTTGTAAATCGATTACAATTGGTATTCCAGTTAGGCAGACCAGAACGCTGGTACTGCCTACGAATGGTGTTACGGAGTCTAATGAGGTCTTTAGTAGAGCTGTCAAGGTTCAGAGTGCTACTCACCTGTCTGGAAACTGGCACGTGTTGTTCCCTGGCCCGGGAAATCGCCTCCTCGATGGTATGTAGACACCGGTCAACATTTGCGGACGTCTATGGTTGGACATCGTAGTCGATGGTTGTGTCGACGCAGTGTTGATATTGATCCCAGTTGACACGATGATTGTTGCACCTGGAAGCTTCGAATCAGTTCACCGAGGAACCAACTAGTGGCCCGAGCTGAGTTCCTGGTAGGTGATCCGACTCAACTGAGTGGGAGTGTCCGGACTCAAGATGTTGTACTGCGCTTCCTGCAGGTCGTTGTTCAGGATGGTGCCGTTTTGATTGCGTCGACTGTTGCCCCAAGCTTCATGTTTGGCGTTCAGGTCGCCAGCGATGATGTATTTTTGCCGCCGAGTCAGCTTGATGACATCTCGTCGAAGGTCCGCTGCCGCCCCATCCCTGTTGTTGACATGTCTGGGGCAGTAAGCCTCACAGCAACGGCTACTACCCCTCCTCTCGTACTGGTTCTGTCGAGTATCAAGAGCCGAAACTCCGATAGGTAGATGTTCATTTCCGGCTTTCGATGGGTTTCGCTGATGATTACAATGTCGATCTCCTTGGCGTTGAGGAAGTCAAGCAGTTCGATATGCTTGTTCTTCAGCAAACAAGCGTTCCAATTCGCAATCTTTATAACTTCACGGTCCATACTTAGTGACAAGGGACAGGGCAGCATGAAGCTGTTCAGATCGGGTCTTGCAAGTGCGTGATGATGACCTCTGCCACGAGTGTCACAGGTTCTTCCGAGGTAAACGGGGAATCATCAACGGACTCACCTGACACAGCACTGGCATACGATAAACCACGATCTGTTGGAGAATACCCAGTGGGGGTGTTAAGGACTCGTTAATTGTTGAGGGGAGGCGGTGTTAGGTTCAGGACCAGTCGACGGGGCGGGAGTGCAGGGTACAGATCATCAGTGTTGGCTGGGGCGTACGATTGTTGCGGTGGTGACCGGTCTGGTTGACTGTTGCCGCGTTTTGCCGAATATGAATGAATTCCGCTCGCTTGGGGCAGTCACGAGTTGAGGCACGGTGGTTTTCATTGGCACGTTCGGTTTGACCACGGGACGCTGTCATATCGTGGCTTCATATGGTAATTTTTCATGCCTTGGCCGTAAGCGAGGCAGTTCGTGGACAGCGGAACATCACGGTGTTGAAGTCCGTATGACTGCCAATAGATGATGACCTGGAACAGATCCCGGATGTTGTCCTTCATCCCGGTAAGTGTGGTGGAGCCCTTCGTAAAGTGAACCAGGAATAACTGGTCCCGGTAGCTGGTGTTCGGCAAGGGTAACGGATTCTTCGGATACACTGCCTCTGGTCGTAGACCAAGCCGCTCCAACTCGACCTTAACAATGGCCGTCTCGAATGACGGCAAACCTCGCAAAACCATCTTCAGTGGCTTCAGCGACGGTAAACCATAGGTGTTAAAATCCACGTTGTTGTCCTTCAGGCTGGAGCACTTATTTTCGTACCGACGCTGCATAGCTAGAACCGAGGTTGTAGGTTGTGATCTTCCAACACAGTCCTAAGCTGGTCGACATACTTCATCGGAGCGAAGAGCGGGGGAATCCACTCTTTTTGACGTAGGACTACGTCTTTGATTTCTATATGGGGGTACACTTTGTGAAAACCGAAAATGGAACATGTAACGAAATTATGAAAGATTTTGAACGTTAATAACTCAGCTACCTCTCAACCAATTTCAATAATTTTATCACCAATCGATAAGAAATATTTCTATACATCGATAGCAATGCTGTCGACTGTTGATTCTTAACAAGGAACTATTGAACAAGTGGTAAATGTCAAGCATTGTCCAAAAGCGTTGAAATAACTAACAAATCCACCAATGCATATGCTGCTTCCCCAACACAGTCATCAGAGAATCATTTCTAGACGAAACATGGCGATGTAGTATTGCTGCTTCCCCAACACTGTCGTCAGAGAGTCGTTAGTAGACGAAACAATTCGAAGTGGCATTCGCCTCCGATCTTCGGGTGTGTGCGAATAGGTAGGCATTCAGCTTCAATTTGATTATATGTTTACCACTGAGAAAAGACAATCTAGCAGGGTTTTCTTGAAATGAAACACACGCACTACAAAATAGTCGTTCTCACTAGAGAAGATTGGAGCTATGTACAAGCGTTTCAAAACAGTTTTAACAATTCTTTCGACTGAAATTGTTAGAGCAGCTGGCAGCAAAAGATTGTAAACAAACCAATACTGCATATGTGTGCGTTCCTTAGATGGTGGCTATAGAAAGATGGTCACTGCTTAGGATGCCGAGAATACGTAAATTCCCCTATGCCTACAATTTAAAAACGGGAAGAGTTAAGATAATAGATGATCGATCAATTAAAAGAACTAAATGCTCTTCACATTTATTCCGTCCACTAGCGGTCCTGCGTCAAGCTTCCGTTCGTGCCCCTAGGCACAAACTTTTCTACTTTTTACCCTTCTTACAAAGAAGGGTATAGATATCACTTGAAAAACCGACTATCGATCCGAGGCCCGGAGGGCCGAGTGTCATATTCCATTCGACTCAGCTCGACGAGATCGGAAAATGTCTGTGTGTGTGTGTGTATGTGTGTGTGTGTGTATGTAACGAAATGAATGCGCTCACGTTTCTCAGCAACCGCTCAACCGATTTGGACAAACTCGGCGCCAAATGATAGGTCTTGGGGTCCCATTGAACGCTATTGAACGGTTTTGGAATCGGTGAACCGGTTCCGGAGATATGGCCGGAATAAGATCCGGTGAATATGGACCTTCACGCTGGATTTAACGGAAAACGTATCAAAACCATCATGCGACACATCAAATTACTACAGAATTCAAAAATAAGATCAATGCAAGTCGTGTTAAGTGTTCCAGACCACATTGGACACACTTGGACATGTTCCGGGTACCCCGGGGAAGTTGCTTGAATATGAAATGAATTAAAACCCATTAAATCGCATTAAAATACGATGATAAGGTGATGGATAGCCTCACCAAATAGACTACACCCGGATATATTCCGGGTACCCCCAGGCAGTGGCGTAGCGTCACTGGATGACACGGGGGTGGGGGGCTTGGTCACTGATAACGACAATAAAATAAATAAACTTGAATAAGTAAGAAGGGTCTGATCACACCATAGGTGGATAAATTCGGGTTTTTTGTGATGGCAACGGTCATCCCTGGCACTTACACTGGTGCTTTTTCATTGCTCATTTCGCTTTTTTTATTGATGATTAATTGTGCTGCCGTTTTGAATATTTCCTCCAATCTTCCTGAAGTGATCCCACTTCACTCGGACATAGAGCATAAGACTAGCTTTTTCTAAGGCCTTAAGGTTGTTTAGTTCACTACACTTGAAGTGAACTAAATAAAAATCATTAGAAATCCCGTTGCGTGAATCGCCAGGACAGGATTTCGTTCTCATTTCATGGCTGATTTCACAAGGCAAATTTTGCCTTGTAAAATCAGCCATGATAGCGGCCATTTGTGGATTCAATCAATCTTGTCCTTAAAAGTCACATTCAGTCTAACGAGCTTTTAGTCCATCGCCTCAGAGCTCTTTCCGTGAGGGGGGTCAACACAAGCAGCAGCAGCAGCAAGCCGGTCGGTCGGAGAAATTTTCACTCACCTTCTTACTCACACTCCTCACTCCCTTTCTCTCCTCTCTCTCTCTCTGGCGCTACGTTGCTGAACCTAGCTTCGCAGAGGAACGTAACCTACAACAGTAGGTAGGCAGAAGAAGCACGCGTCGCTCAAAAGTCATAAATCTTTCGCTTTTCGCTGCAGATATCGGACCCGGTTGGTCTACCGCCCCAAAATGTCCATATGCCAAGTCCCAACTCCACGCTCCACCGTCGTCGTCCGTACGGGGTGAGAGCGGTGAGATCCACCGGTGCGGTACTCTTTCTCTCGAAAAGAACGTGAAAAATAGTGGCGCACGCTCGCTCGCCAGTGGGGTAGGTTGGGGAGCACGTGGTGGCGAGTGGGAGGAAAACGCCGCATGTGCGCACGATCATCATCGTCATCGGAGTCACACACCAACAAAAGGCGAAGTGCAAACGAACTCCGGACGAACCAGAGCCGAATATTTCGCAAATCTTCGTCGGACCGCGAAACGAAGCACACAGTTGATTTTCGCAAGCTCCCGTTTTCGATGCTCATGGAGGGATTTCGATTGCTTTGCTGCAGCCAGAGACATGTGTGACTCGTTCGAGTGAGTATGGAAGTGGTGTTAGAAATTCGATCGAGTGTGACTGCTGCTGCTGCTGGAGAAGAGCAGGATTAGGTTTCTTCTTGTCGATGAGTGGAAAAATGCCGGTTGGTGATGGCGCTCACGGGATGTGCGCGAATTTTGGCGAGGTTTGGGCGCGCGTCGGCCGAATTTGGCGAGTACCGAGCTTCGTCGTCGGCGTCCTCGGATGTGTGGTCAGATTGTGCAAAGTGCCGAATTCGTTCGTTCGGGGGCTCTGTGTGTAGTGTGGGTCTACCAGCGTCAGTGGCTGGTTCATCACCGGCAGTCGCGCTCAGTCCGTGGAACAGTGTGGTGTTGACTCCTGCTCTCTTCCCAGAGACATTTTCCTGACAGGCATCAAGAGGTGAAGAGTGATGAAGAAGAGTACTGAGGAACAAAATTAAACCAAATTAGGAGGCCAAGTCCAAAAGTGCTGGTGTGTATGTTCATAAACAGTTGCTCCGGACAAGTGTAGACAGGCCCGATCTAAATAGCCTTCAGTTCTTGTGTTGTGTTTAGTGTGCGTTTGCGTGCTTGTTATGTTCAGTTCGGTTGGTTTGCGTTTTTTGGGTTGAGTTTTTTTTTTTTTTTTTGGGAGAAACAGACACGACCGGCTTGATATATTAGAACGAGTCAACGTGTGGAGTGGCGGCAACTCAAGTGTGGCAGAAGGAAGGCACAAATAATATATGTAATCTAATACTGGCGAACCCGGAACTGCGGCCGCTTTTAGCGAATTGACTTTTGCAAACGCTTGGAACGTCTGAAGGCCGAATCGAATCCGTGCGAGACTCAACCGTTTCACGCTGGCTGATTAAATTTATTGATCGAGTAATCTCCGCTTCTAATCCCATTACCCACGAGGACGGGTGGGTAGAGCTAATCCAGTACGCAGTGGCATTGCAGGTTCCATATTTAGACTGAACGTTCGAGTATAGCCATTTCCTGTCGTTCCTGATAAGCAATGCATACAGAGAAATGAAGTGGTACAAAGTACGCGGATTTTCCCCCCAGCAACAGCTGATTTCACCGCAAACTTCAGAAGCAATTAGACCGCCCTAATGAGTCTTGAGGGAAAGCCACTAAGCAGCACGGTGAATCAAATTTTCAACTAGACCTTCAACCCAGAGAACACCACCATTTTTTTTTTGCTGTTAAAAAACGAAGAGAACACACAGTAGATGAGCTAATATTTGCAAATGATTATCAACACCAACACACAACCGACGATGAAAGCAATCATCTGAATTTCGCAAACCTGCCACTGCCGGCCCGCCTGCCTGCTTGCCGATTTAGATTAGTTCGACGAATGAGCAGAAGCCTGGAGGAGGTGGCCAAGAAGTATGAGGAATCCCACAACTACCAGTGGAGCGAATCCGAAGCGATAAGTGTGCGACTCTTAGCTCATCTGTTTGGCAAAAGTCCTCTTGGTCTTCTTACCGTTGCTGCTTGCCTTGGCGAATGTGATCACACCAGCCGTATTATAACTTCCTATCAATTGCCTTACCCGGGAATGGAACTCGAAAAAATAGCGACCAACACACATCCAGAGAAAAGTTACCATCTTCAGAGCAAAAGTTTTCCGTTGTTTCATTATGTTTGCCATAAGTTCGGTTATGTCCTGCTGCCACGGAAAAAAGTGGAAAGTTTTGTGTTGTTTTTCAGTTTCCCAACAGCTGCCACATATTCTTGCGGCAGGAAAAGAAACTTCAAACTAGAAAACATTGTTGATTTTCATTATTCCGTTTCACACTCGTGACTTTTGAGTTTGAGGACTGCAGCGGCGAAAAAACCTCCGCACGAAATAATGGAGAAAAATCGGAAAAGTTCTTTCGTTGAAAGTAGTAGTTTAGTTTAGTTTTTTTTTATTCTGTTCCGTCCTATTCTGTTCTGTTTATTGTTTTTCGAGAAGAAAATGAGCAAAGTTTCGCCCCCGCCGGTGGAAACGAAAGACATATCCTCAAAACCCAAGTGACGGTTAAGAAGAACACACAATGATTGATCGTTAGTTTCGTAGCGGGGGTGGCAGGATATCGATGAAATCGATTCGAGCGCACGCATTTCGGTTCGGTTCGGTGGATTTAGCCGTAATTGGACAGCTGGTGGCTGGCGCTGACGACGATGATGACGATGATGATGATGTCAAACTCTGCGTGGTTCAGTGACTGCGGAACAAGCGACTACAAACCGAGAGTAGAAGGCGCCGAATGGCGCGCGATGAGGTAAGCGAAAACTTTTGGGAAAGTGAATTCGATCTCAATAATGTTACTCCTACGATCCTGTTTATAGGCCCACTGGGGGTGCTTGGGGGAAAGTTTTCACGTAATCAGTTGAATAATATGAGTCAGTTTCCAAGTTCAAAATTTTATCCGCACCCCGAAGGAAACTACTATCATCAATCATATATTTATCTGCAATGCTGAGAGTCATTGACCTTTCGCAACACGGACGGAAGGGAAGGGGGCTATTGGTTCTTAAGCTCTGGTGAACCAGTTTTTGCCGGACATGCGCAGTGCGTTGGCAAGCCTCGGCAGTCACACGATGGGAATAGTGCTTGGCGCACCGGTATGAGTCCTTGCTGGCTTTCTTGTGGCAGGGTGGCCAGCGAACCGGTAACACCGGAAATTTGTGAAGTAGCTGGGACTACCGGGAATTTGATGGGATATTCGGGAACAATCAGTAAACCTTATATCCGGTCACTTAATTGCTGGTTTTAGTTTTATTTCTTATGGATGTACAAGTTAAATCTACACAAACGTAGAGTTATGAGAATTATATTTAATGATTCGTAATGATTTCTGAATCAAACAGATTTCAACTTTATCTACTTACGAGTCCCATTTCCTATTGATTGTTTAATAGGAACCTTATTTTGAGATTTAATAAGCTCCCAACCTTTCAATATGGGTCATTCCAGCTCAAGTGGGTACACCACCTATGGTCGATGTCACCTATATGAGCCAAACTTGGCCTAAACGCTTATTTTGGCTCTCCGAACAAACGCCTTTTTTTGATTTCACTCTGAAGTGCCTAGATCCCTCTCGGCTACAACCCTGGATCATCTTTCAGAAGAGATTATTCAACATCCAAATAAGCTATTTGTGATCTTAAAACGTCAATTTGAAGGTTTTTTTTAATTTTAATTCTTATAAGTGAACCCACATTTTGTTTTTGTCATAGTAACTACAGTCAACATCACTGGCGTGCACAGGGTGGGGAAAGGTGGGACAATTGCCCCACCTTTAATAAATAAGATTTTAATTTTCACATTTACATGATAAAAAATATCTAGATTTCTTGATAACTTGATTTGAAGGTAAAATTGAAACCCTTTTATTGCGTCAATTCCTTTGAGGTGGTGCCTGAAAATTGGATGTAACAAGCTTCAATGAAATTTTTTGGTCAAAAAATTGCACCACATTGGTGAATACAAAAAAAAACTGGTGTAATTTTTTTTTAAAGATTGATCATGGAGGGTTAAAAGAAAAGGGTAAATTTTAGGGTTAAAACAATTCACCTTCGTGGTGGTAAATCGAAGAAAAAAGCTTTTTCTAAAATTGAATTGCACTAAAAATTTGGAGGTGCACATTTAACTGAAAATGTCTTGTGGAAAGTTCGCTACGCTGTGGTGAATGTAGAAGCAAGGTTTACTAATTTTTCTGGTGTATAATTCTGACGAATGCAAGCTTCATCGAAAATTTATGGTGGAAAATTTGCACCATTCTGCATGAGGAGGCACAGCCTGAAAATTGCACCCCAAAGGTGCATGGTGAAACAAACTTCACTGACAATTTTTGATGCACCGTTCTGGTGAATGGAGGAGCATGTTCTATTGAAAATTTCTGGTGCAAAATTTGCAGCGCTATGATAAATGAAATGAATAGAAAATTTCTGGTGGAAAACTTGCACTAGTCTGGTTAATGAAGGCACAAGCTTTATTTGAAATTAAACTAAACTTAAAACTTTTGGTGGGAAATCTGCACCGTTCTGGTGAACGGATGGGCAAGCTTTTCGGATTTTTGGTCTTAAATTATCTGAATAGCGAAACAAATTTTAATAGTAATTTCTGGTGTAAAATTTGCACCATTCTGATGATTGGACGGAAGCTGAGTACTGCGGAGTAAATCGATTGTATTTTGCAAGCCAATGGAAAACTGCTTGAAAATTTGTTCAAGTTTATTTTTTTTTGTTCTTTCTCAGTTGATTCCCGCCAAAAGCTCTGAGCCAGGAGTGCTCGAGCTCCCATGACTCTATCAAAGTTTGTTTAGATAAATGTTTCACCAAAGTATGTTTTACTGATATTGAAAACGCAGCTGAGTCATAAAAACTATGCTGGTTTTTATACTTTCATCATTGAGCCTGTTGGTTTTTGTCTTTGAGCTTACAATTAAGAATGTGTTATGAAAAAGTTTGAATCATTTTTATGAGATTGCAATGCTTGACGAGAGGTAAGAACAGTAACTGAGTTTGTTGCTTCTGAATGTTTGGCTCCCGTTTGACAGTTCTGACTGGCTCCCAAGTGAAGCACATTGAGTGAGTCCGCAGTACCCAGGAGGGAAGCTGCTTTACTCAAAGTTTATGATAAAAATAAAGCAATAGGAGCAAACGTTTATTTGAAAATTTCTGGTGGAAAATGGAAACAGGAGTTCGGCACCACTCAGAAGATTGGAGAAGAAATTTTAATTGAACATTAACGGTTGAAAATTTGCATCGTTCTGGTCAATTCAAATTTTCTGGTGTAAAATTTTCTGGGGGCAAGTTTGTATTTAAAATTTCTGGTGTATGATTTGCAACATACTGCTGCATGGAGGGGCAAGCTGAATTGAATATTCCTGATCTAAAAATTGCACAGTTCTCGTGAATGGAGGGGCAAGCTTTATTGAACATTTCTGGTAGAAAAACTACAACGTTTTGGTGAATGGACGGACAAATTAAACTTGATTTCCGAGAAGAACCTAAAGGGTATTAAGTTCTGAGAACAGTTCCAAAAGAAAAAAAATCTGAGGATGATTTCACGAAAATTCTGCGAATAATTTCTAGTGAATCCTGCAGATAGTTCCAAGATAATTTCGAAAAGAATACCGAGAAAATCAAATTTTGGATGAAATTTCAAATGGATTTTGAGGAAAATGTAAAGGGGATTACGAGAATAATTTCAAGCTAATTCTGGGAAGAATTTATGGAGAATACAGAGAAAATTCTTCTGTAACTTCAGGGGAATTTCAGTTCCAAGCTGTTCTGAGAAAAAAAAGTTCCAAAATATTCCGAAAAGAGCCTCAAGGATATTGAATTTTTAGGACAGTTCCAAAATATATCTGGGAAGAATTCAAAGAAAATTCTGCGGAAAATTTCTAGTGCATCCTACAGATAGTTCCAAGATAATTTCGAATAGAATACCGAGAAAATCAAATTTTGAGTGAAATTCCAAAGGGATTTTAAGCAAAATTTCAAGAGAATTCCGAGGATAATTTCTAGCTCATTCCAGGAAAAATTTCTGAAACTCTAAAGGAATTTCAGTTCCAAGGTTTTCTGAGAAAAAAAATATGAAGAGTTCTAAATATAGTTCCAGTGGACTTCTGAGAAGAATTTCAATATAGCTCTTTAGAGAGTTTTTAAAAAATCAGAGAAGAACCTCAAGAATATTGAATTCTGATGACAGTTCCAAAAGATTTCTGGGGAGTATTCCAAGAAAATTCTGCGAATAATTTTTAGTGAATCCTACAGATAGTTTCAAGATAATTCCGAAAAGAATACCGAGAAAATTAAATTTTGAGTGAATTCCAAAGGGATTTTGAGGAAAATTTCAAGGGAGTACCGATAATTTCTAGCTCATTCCGCGAATAATTTCTGGATAATACTGAGGAAATTCTTCTGAAACTCTAAGGGAATTTCAGTTCCAAGATGTTCTGAGTAAAAGTCAAGAAGAGTTCTAAAAATAATTCCAGAGGACTTCTGAGAAGAATTTCAAAAGAACTCATAGAGTTCTAAAAATTTCGAAAAGAACCTCAAGGAATTCTGAGGTTGGAATTTTTTTGCAACTATACAAAGTTTTAAGACAGCTTTTGAATTCCCTAATTGAAAAGTGGGTATTAGTTTGCCATTGAACCTTGGTCTATTGTTGTCGTACTAAAAATTCATCTAAGAATCTTCTCTGAAAATTTAAAGTCATCTGTTACCGCAATAAAAACATCTTTAAAACATGTTGAATGTTTGGCATCATTTTCTGTCACCCAGACTGGCGGTACTTTGGGACAGGGTTGAAATGCTCATTATTTCGCACAAGTCGTCATTCCGTTAACAATCCTGTACCCGCTTATCAAAATAGTTTTGTGCGCATTTGTTTGAATCGTTACAATTTTTTTAAACCTTTTTAATGATCTTGGCATTTAGGTCAAAATTTAAAAAAAAAATAGCACTTATTTCCATTGGCTGTCTGAAAGCAGTTTTCATTGAAGAAGATCAACCACCCCCGGAGCAAAAAATAAATTAAATTTTCTAAATAGAACAGTAGAAAAACAGTGGTGGGTGGACAGCACCATCCACCATGCACTTTGGAGTACTCCCCCATGCCCAGATTAAATGCATCAAAGAAAAAAAAATTGCCCCTCCTTAACGAGATTCCTGTACACGCTAGTGGTAAACATACTGATTACCGGCCCATTGTCAAAAATTGCATATTTTCATCATGGGCGGGATTCTTTATTTCTTCATATTTTGGGTTTTAATTTTCACCACACTTTGGAAAACTCCTCTACTAGATGTGTTTCCAAGGGCAAATGATTTGGACAAATAGTTTTTGAGATATGACCAGATGAGTAAGTACTTGTTTTGAGCTTTTCTGGTGGAAAATCAATGCTATTTAATTTATTTTTTATTTTTCTTGAATTTCTTCACACCGATGAATTTTTTCATCGCGATGTACAGTTTGGCTTTTTGCCGTTTTCGTACGCTTTTTTAATAGCTTCTCAAAAATTAATTTTAGGTATCTCAAAAACTATTTGTTCATATCATTTGCCCTTAAAAAATATCTTGTAGAGTTTTCCAAAGTGTTGTGCATATACATATGAGCCCAAAATATTAATAAATTAAAAAATCATGCCCATAGGTATGCCCATGCCATAGACCATTTTTGACAATTTGGATACCTTCCGGTAATCAGTCTGTTTACTGTAGTTACTATAACAAAAACAAAATGTGGGTACACCTATAATAATTAACATAA